GGTGGTGAGGATGATGATGAAATGCTTACTACTCAAGATTGGACGAATGTTAAAATTCTTATAGATTTTTTAGAACATTTTCAAATTGCTACAAATGCATTTTCTAGGCAATATTATCCTTCTATTTCAAATTGTTTAGTTTATATTGCAGCACTATGTGATTTGTTTGTTGAATCTTTGGAGGGTGGGGAAATTTATCAACTTGCTATAAATGAAATGAAAGAAAAGTTTAAAAAATATTTTTTCTCTATCCCTCCTATTTATGGTGTTGCTGCAATGTTAAATCCTACAATGAAATTAGGAGGTCCTCATTTTTGGCACTCAAATATTTATAAGGCTTTAGATCTTTCAAATGAGTAATTTACTACACTTGCAGATGCAAAAGCCTCAATTAAAATTAATGCTCAAACAATTTATAATGATTATCAACTTGCCTTAGAGCATGCTAGGCCAAATGTTCCAACCCCTACTTCGTCTAGTTCACAATCGTCTAAAAGAGCTGCGGGCTTAAAAACACTTAAATCTTGGACGGAGTTCAGGGGTTCTCAAGGTGATAATTATGATGAAACTTCACATCTAAATGAGCTTCAAGTTTATTTGTCGCAGGGACTTGAAAAGGAGAATCCAGACGGCACTTTTGATCTTTTGGAATGGTGGAAGGCAAGGGAAAAATATTTTCCGGTTCTTGCAAGGATGGCTCGGGATATTTTATCTATTCAAGCTTCAACTGTTGCATCAGAGAGCGCTTTCAGTCAAGCAAGACTTCAAATAGGTGATCATAGAGCGTCAATGAGGGAGAGCTTGGAAAAATCTGTACTGTTCAGAGATTGGATCCGCTCGGAAAGAAGAAACTTTGGAATTGCGGAATCACAACCGGCGATAGATGAAGCTTATGAAGAAATGATGGCGGAACTTGCGGAGGATGCTGCTTCGCCCGGAAGTGGTGATGAACAAGCTTCTTTTCCACCACCACCAACGCAACCTCCTCCGAACCTTGAAAGATTTATGAGATTTGTTAGAGATACAATGTAGATTATGGTGTAACTTGTACTTTGGCACATCATCTTTTATTTTTTCCCCCTTTAATGGTGGTATTAGTACCTTGTTGTGCTCATTCCATTGGGGGGAGGAAAACTAAGAAAGATATGCCATTTTTGGTAATAAAAATTATAAGACATGCCCTTGAATATCTTTTTGCAATATTTTTTTGTCTTTAACTTGTAATTATTTATAAGTTATAATATATATACATAACATACAATATATACTACAAGAAAATATATAAGGGAATATATATATACTATACTAGTGTACTATATATACTACAAAACAAGATTTTTCAAAATTCAAAATGAGGGCGCCACCCCCAATGACCATCAACGACCATATTGCACAAATAGCCATTTTTTTTTCAATTTACAAAACTAACCTTCTCTAACACTATAAATACCCCCCTCCCTCTTCTTCATTTCAATACTCAATACTCATTTCTCAATCTAAATTTCTCTCAATCTCTCAATCTCCAATTTTCAAGACTTCAAGTCTCAATCTTAATTTTCAAGTTACATCATGCCTCGTTCGGAAAGAGTGCGCTTATTTGTTTCGCACTACTATGAAGTGCTTGAAGAAAATGAAGAAGGCCAAATATTAAAGTGCAAGAACTGTGGAAGAGTCTTAAATTTTCGTTCACGGTGTACCACAGACATTTTAAGGAGGCATATAACGTATTATGTTGATGGTATTTATCCGCAAATTCGTTTTTAAGATTTTTCAACAATTTATGTTATTTTAAAATTATTAGACGTATTTATGCTTCATGTTGTACTTTCTTATTAATTTATTATGCATGACAATTTAGTTTTACTATTGTTTTGTTATTTTACTTTTTCGTCAAGCACTTTAATAATTAGATTTCTACATATATACTACATATATATTTTTTATATAGCCATGATATGGGTTTACAAGAAATTGCCTTAAACAAAAAAATTTAAAAAAAGAAGAGCCCGGAAATAAAAAAAAGCCCGTTAGGCCTGCTAAGCCCACGAGCCCGGCCCGTTTAGCCCAGGACCATATGGGCTTTAGGCCCGTCACGGACTGGTTCCACCCGTTGAGCCCACGAAGCCCGGAACCGTGAGGCCCGGGACCGCCAGAGCTCAGGCCCGTTAAGCCCGGCCCGTTTGGCCCATTTAGGCCCGGGACCGGCCCAAAATACAGCATTAGTTATACAAAAAGGTGGAGCAGCTTAGTGAAAGTGGATATTTCATTAATGCCCTCTTTTCATGCAGATAGCTTAGAGCCTTCGAAAATTCTAGAAAAAGTCAAGCACCTTTTTCCTTTTCAATCCCAAACAACTTGCAAAAGGGGAATGGAAAGATGATACAAGATTTGATTTTCTTTTCTTTTACTCTTTCTTAAACCCCAAAGCCCAGGTGGCCACCAAAAATAAGTCACTTGAATTTTCTTTTCTTTTTTCTCTCTATTATTTTAGTTGTGAATATTTAACCTGCTTCTCAACTTAAGATGTCCAAAAAAATAACAGTCTAATACCTCTTACCTGATTCTGGATTTCCAATAATCCATTACCTGATAATTAGGCAAGAGGGGGAAATAACTGCAAAATCAATACAATCAGTTAACAAGAAAATGAATCTATTTGTGTTGGTTAATGTAGACATTAGCCTAGTGGGCACTTAGAAATCAGAACAATCTAGTGTAACTTGGCAATTTTGTCAATAAAACAGAGTAGATATTTTGATGTCCCGAGCAACTCTGAGCCACATCTTATGTATAGATTAGTTGAGTAAGGGGACCCAAAATTCCCATATGCTCATACTGGCATAAATGCATTTGGCATTTTCACTTAGCTTTTGCTTTCCTCTTCTTTTTTTTTTTTCCTTTTAGAGGCATATAGATATAAGTAGGGGTGTACAGAAGAAACCAATAAACCGCACCAACCCAATAATCCGAGTCACATCGAGAAAAAAACTCGATTATAATTTGATTTGATTTGGTTCGAGAAAAAAACTCGATTATTCATCCCGCCCCCAATATGATGTGTAACATCCTCGTCGATCTCCTTATTCCTTTGTATAACTGACCCAAGGTATTTAAAACTGTCTCCTAGGGGTGACTTGAGAATCAAGCCTTACTCCTTCTTCCCCACCCTGAGGCGTCCCACTGAACTTGCACTCCAAGTACTCTGTCTTGGTCCTGCTCAACTTAAAACCTTTAGACTCCAGGGTCTACCCCCAAATCTCTAACCTCCAATTAACACCGTCTCGCGTCTCGTCTAGTCCAGGTCTGCCTCCAAATCCCTGCTGGCACTTTGCAATGCATAATTTGGCATGTATAACATGATAATGGGCATGCTTTAATTACCTTTTCTAGTGGAGGATGTATAACTTAAGCAGCATGTAAGTCATCCGTTTGAATAATATTCTATATGTACTAGTTTTTCTTTTTTAATATACAATTACTACATGGACATTCATTGTCGCAAAAGAATAGGGAGTGTAATAATATTCTGAACTTACTGAATAAAAATCTTTGATCGGCGTTCCATAATGACAAATTGGTTACAAGTGTCTTAAAATATCAAGCACCGAAAGTTGTAGTGTATTAGTCAATAAAGTGGGAGGAGAACCATGAAGTTTCAGGTTCAAATCCCAAAAATGAAATTACATCCAAAGGTGGGGTATAATTTCTTCTCAAATGCCTAAGTGTAAGTCAACATAGTTACCCGATACTTGTATTGCTGGGGATAGTAAGTATTCGGTAGAATATTTGAGATACAAACAAGCTTCCCTCGATACCATCATAAAAAAAGTCTTGTTCTAGTTAAACTACCACAAAATTCCAGTTATAGGATTCTCATCTATTTAGTAACATTGACTCTCGGCTACATGCTCTACAGCTCTAACATCTTCCATATTGATGTCAAGCATGATATATATATATATATATATATATATATATATATATATATATATATATATATATATATATATATATGATTCTTAACTCTTACCAATTTCGTGTTGCTTTTTCTTTTTTCCTGGCCTCAGAGTTTGGCAACCATTGTCATTCTCTCTCACCAAATTCTGCAGCTAATTATTCGGGTGCTTGAGATTAGCAACAATACAAACAACGGTCGTTGTATCTGAGCCAAGTATTGCAGTTTCATTACTATGGTTTATTTATTTATTTCCCATTTATTGCTTGTTTGCCCTGTTTATGGAGTTATTCCTATGTGAAAAGAGATGTCCGCTCAAGATTCTTCTATGCGAGATTTTGCAGCAGACCCAACTCTACATCACCATCAGATAGCCAATGACACCAAAAAGTGAGGAATTGGCGTCAACTCAAATGTGATTCCTATAGGACCTGAACTCCGAATATTGGCCAGATATCGATATCTTTAATCAATACTATCTCTTACCTCTCATGAGCACAGTTATGGGATAACTATGTCCATCAACGTTAATGCATATGAAAGAAATTACCTAGCGGTATTTGTCTAATGCTAGAACTTGAACCTAGTAAACCATGCTTTTCACCCAATTCTTTGACCGGTACCGGCTACTCTATGCCTGCTTCAGCTTTTCTTAACAGCAACACTCTACTGTAATGATAGCTTCGTGAAATTGGCAACTATCAACGTGCTGGATACTTAAGAATATGAGAATATGAAACAAAATATCATCACCATCAGCCTTCAAAATGTGCTAACTACCTGATTGCTACTGACTAACTGCCTTGTGTGTATTCAATCTCTAGCCTAAAGGTAACCATAAAAAACAACAGACGCAATTTTCAAACAATTTAGGTAGTTCTTCCTTTTTCTATCGAAAGAGAGTGCGTGCAAACCTTAAGGGGTTGTGAGCAAGAATAACTCCTTTAACGACTTCTTAGGGTCTATGCATGATTGCAGAGGTAATTAATCTGCACCTACACAACAACAACAACCCAGTGGCTGCACCTACACAAACTACGAAAAACAAGTCAGAAGTGCTTTACATGAAGCTGAAAGGTTCTCAACAAAATTCCTCGAGCTTTCATTAACCAGTAATACCACTTTTCAAGCCACTTCCTTTGTCTACTCCAGAATGGACAGAAGGGTATTAACTTGCACGTATAAACATACAGAAAATAGAAAAGCGAGGCCAAAAACAGAAGAAAATTAGAGGTGAGAGTGGAAGTAGTGAAGAGCTTTAATTGATTTGTAAAGAGAATAAATACAAGTAGCAAGGATCATGAAGCTAGCTACAATTGTGAGTTAACAACTGCGGGCAATTTGATACACGAATATTAGGCCTAAATTCAAACAGACCCCCTTTCCTTTGATTAAGGAACAGAAGTGTATCAATGTCATTCTTGAGTATCTTGTACAAAGAAATTGTAATACTGAAATTATCTAATTAATGACTCACTGAATTTTACATCCCCCGGAATCTTGCGCATGACGGACATTGCCGTAGGCAGAAAGTTCAAGAAGATCCATGTCATGACCTGGATGTAGTTTTAAAAGGTTAATTGGCAGAGGTAAATCATAAACTATAAATACTTGAACACAAAACTGCATCTACCTGAAACCCGACAATAAGAACTTCTCTTAATAAGTTCAGCTTTTGATATATCAGTTCGATTCCCCTTGGATCGATTAACTGTCGCCTGCAGGAAGAGAGTCGTACCATCAATTATGTCAACTCTTAGACACACTAAACCATTTTCTACCCACTCTCTAAATAATCATAACCTTTTCTTTTCTCTTTGGTTTTTTTCCCCCTCTTTTTGGGTGAAGGGGAGGATGGAGTGAAGGTTGGCTAGCCAAGTTCCTGAGATTGGCACTGGATCTAAGAAATGTACCAGATTTTAAACTTCCAGCAATCACAAAGGAGCAGTCAAACAAATAACTAGTCCAGAAAACATGGATATAAATGGAGAACCCAAGCAGCTAAAAAAAATAAGGAGATAAAAGCACAAGATACGCAAGTGACTATAATCCCTAAATAGTCTTAATACTCCTTGTTTTTCTGATGAACTTGCAGCTAACAGATAAAGTAGAATATGTTTCAAATCATTAATGAAACATTGTCTTCTAAAGCAGCACTTAGTATAAACTATCATACAGATTAACTGTCAAAATGAATCAGACAATAACAGTACACCCATAAGAATGCCATAGTGCAGCTAAGAATTTTTCAAGATACTCCACATAAAGCACAAACAGATATGTTTTACAGGAAAAAAAATCTCACCTGCAGAACCTGGCAATTCTCTAATGTACTTTGTCCACCCTGCAAAAATTTGAAACAGATAACCTCAATTAAAAATGTCTACTTTCTAAATTTTGTCGGTCCAACAAAAGGCCAATAATAAAGCATCTATAACAGACAGTGGCTTGAAAAGACTAGTCCATCTTCTCAAGAAGCAGACATTTATAATCAATACAACAGTTTAGAAAATATGGCATTTATAATGTAAGCTTTTCGGTTGATGCCACAAAGCTAAGGCTAGAAGTCGCCATATCATAGAGCATTACAAAATAGAATATACAAAACAATTTCATTAGCAAGTTTAGCACTTGCCCCACCTTCTGTAGCAAACCCCAAGAAGAAGAAATAAAGGAAGAAAGGAACAGAAATGAAGATGTTGGAAACTACTAGTTGTTTAGCAAAGCCATTTATACAATGTGCATTCTATGAACCTAAGCATGCTTGTATTTTTTTCCCAGAAGTATAGACATGTCTCTCAATTCCTCCTATACAATATACTCTTCTTTTGCTTCTTCCTCATCTTCTTATTTGCTTTTGCAAAGTTTAACGAGGTCCCGATCAATTAAGACTGAGCAGAATTTTTGGGAAGAAAAGAAAACTTCTACTACTTGTTTGAATTTTGACTCAGTTTTGGATATATCTGCAATCACAGGTGTGATAAAATGAAAAATGAACATGCAAAAGAACTGAGATTAGAAAAAAAAAATCATGAAACGTTATCAAGTTCTAATCATGCAGTCCATGAGAAGAATGTCTTTGACAGATTACTCTAACAATCCTAACAATGAAATGAGATTCGTTATACAAGCTAAGGAAGAACGGTCATACCCCCAATTCAGGTCTTTATGAATTATTGTAACTTCTACTTTTGACTTTCCTTTTTCTTTCCTCGGGAGTGAGGTACAAGTACCACAAGGAAAATTTCAGTGCAGAGCTTTGAGTTGGTAAATTTATATGTTAGAATGTCAAGGGTTTTTATTAAAATGCTATAATGTTCAAAGGATCAATTTTGATGTTAGATATTGTCTTGCAGTGTGCAAATATCATGTATATTATGTTAACACATATAAATAGCTCTGTCCTGTGTTTATCAGATGATCAAGTATTCCCTCTTATTTTCTCACATGGTACCCCTGCATCTACTATCTCTATTCTCTTATTTTTCCACATGGTATCGCCACCTCTACTATCTCGATAGAGACACAGGTAGCTTGTACTTATCTGGCGGTGGTCCTAAGCACCTGTCTCGCTATGTTGTTTTCCTTCCTTTCCTTTTTCCAGAAAAAGGACAAGCGGAAGCTCCAAACTTCTCTGAAGCTAATTCGTTAGAATGTTACAGAGCCTTTTTTATGGGTTGTTAGAATGTTAAAGAGTTAGTTTAGAATGTTAGAAATGTAAAGTTCTTTTTGAGATGTCCCACACTGGAAATATCATCTGTATCTTTTGATTGAAAAAAGTGATGCTTAATATTTACCAAATCATCAAGTTATATATGTATCTCTTTATTTCTTTTGTTACTAAAAATGGTATCAGAGGCTCTACAATTGTGGTAATGTTTAAGTAACTCCTACCATTCAAGCAGCAACATTTCTATTTCCGGTGCCAGCTCCGACGGTAGTGTGCCGATCTCCAAGTGATCCTTGCGAAGGCACTACATCTATCTCCGGTGACCCTACTAGTGATGCCACACTTATTTTTCATAACGGTCTGTTCACTTTGTTCACAAGATAGTTTTTACACAACTCTCCTACTTTATCCAGATAGGGACTTGAGTCTGAACGGCTTATGCTTTGCATAGCCACAAGACTTGTCCATCTTATAAATCTAAAAGATACTCCATCTGTTTCATTTTGTATGTGGTCTATTTATAAAAATTGACAGCTTTCTATATTTATGAAAACTTTAGTTCTAACTTCCCCTTTTAACATTAATGACATACTTCTACAAAAACTACATGGCATCAAAAATAACTATTCCCTCCGTTTCAAGTCATGTGACACTTTCCTTATTAGAACATAAAAAGAATAACATATTTTTGCATTTGGAAACAATTTTGACTTTAAACTTTCTATTTTACCCATTTTATCTTAATGAGAAACTTTTATAGTCACATAAATGTTACGGAATATTTCAAACCACAAGTTTCAAATATCTTATAGCCACATACTTTTCAAAAAAAAATTTTATAGCCACATATATATAGTTGACCACAGTTTCAATAGTCTTTATTCTTTTCTTAAACTTATGCCGAGCCAAACTACAGTCACATTAATTGAAATGGAGAAAGAAGTAGATTCTAAGAGCATTTTGGTATATTATTTACCTGTCAAATCTTTCTTTCTTCCTCATACTCGATTTCCAACCAAACAGATTCACACACAACGAAATCGAGGGATTAAAAATTGAGAACTTGGAAGAAAAGTACCTTGGAATAGGGAATAATATGGTCATAGTCATGGCATAGACAACCAGGACAACCCACAAGCTTCCGAAACAGTATGTTCCCCAACGGGTCGCGGCGCCATCGGTCCGGGTCTCTACCCTTCACTTTCTCCGCTTTCTCCCAACACTGCTGCTTCACACTATACGAGAAACTTCTTGGATTGTTATTAGAAGAAATTTCAAGCTTCTCAAACAAAGCCAAGTCTGAATCAGTGACAATTTCACTCTCAAGGAGAGCAGCTGATGGTGGAGGAGATAGCCTGGAATAGGGAGGTCTTGAGTCGGGTCCTGAGGGTTTAACGGGTCGGGTTCTTGTTGGGGATGAAGCATACTTGTTTTTCCTTTTGCTTTCTTTACTTGATCTCATGTTTCTGTTGATATTTTTAGCTCAAACGCCATTGACACGGATTATGTTAGCTTTTGACCCGTTTGAATGGGAAATCTAAATTGGGCCTACCGATCAGCCCAATGGGTTATAGTGAGATAAATAAGAGCAAACTTCATTTATGGCCGGTCAGTAGAAACTAATATCAACCCCTAGCTACAAAATTGTAGTATGCATTTTATAGCCTAAAACTAATTAAAAGGATAGCCTTAGAATCCTCCCCATCTTCGCCATCCTTGGTTTTCATCTTCGTCTTGTCGCCACAGCCGCATCCCCTCCATTCTGACCTGGCCCGGTCCCACCCTCATCCAACGCAGCTCGGATCTTCTCCGCCCGGCGCAAATAGTCGGTAAATTTCTAAATAATCCCTTCCTTAGTCTTAGGGTTTTCCTCAATCACCTGCACCGCCCTCTAGACCCAGCAGGTACAAATATCGATTTTCATTTTTCTTTTTCTGATAATTCTGTTTGGTGGAAATTATGATATTAAAACTCCAACTTGATAAATTAGGATTGAAATGACTGATCTTTTTCTTTTCCGTGTTGGCTTTTTCACAGAACCTAAATTGGGAAAGAAAGGTTTAAAGAAGAAGGAGAAAAAAGGACCAGTACTAGGCACATAGTTGCTGAAAGAAGGAACAATCATAGCCGTGGGTGAGAACGGGTCGTTGAATCGGACGGACGACAATGATTCTGTTGTCGTCGATCATTAGTCAAATCAGAACGGCGTGTCGCGGTCAACGTTACCGATCGATCAAAATTTTTAGATGAAAACCATTGTCCATAAGCCTCAAATGGATGTATGTCAACAACAACAACAAAGAATCAATGACAATGGAGTGCTGAGTCATCACCATATAGAGCATTATTTTTTGAATATTGGTATAATACAAAATATATATATATACAAAATAGATTGTCACTATAAAAAAATTATACAAAATAGATTGTTACTATACAATTTATAAATAATAGACTGTCACTATACAAAATATATATAAAAATAGACTATCACTATAAAATTTTTATACAGTAGATATACAAAAATAGAATGTCATTATACAGAAAATATACAAAATAGACTGTCACTATACAATATATATACAAAATAGACTGTCATTATACAAAAATATACTAAATAAACTGTAACTATACAATTTATATACAATAAATTGTCACTAAACAAAATATATACAAAATAGACTGTCACTATACAAAAATTAACTAAATAAATTGTCACTATACAAAATATATACAAAATAGACTGTCAATATACTGTAACTAAATAAACTGTAACTATACAATTTATATACAATAAATTGTCACTAAACAAAATATATACAAAATAGACTGTCACTATACAAAAATTAACTAAATAAATTGTCACTATACAAAATATATACAAAATAGACTGTCAATATACTGTAACTAAATAAACTGTAACTATACAATTTATATACAATAAATTGTCACTATACAAAATATATATAAAATAGACTGTCACTATACAAAAATTAACTAAATAAATTGTCACTATACAATTTATATACAATAAATTGTCACTATACAAAATATATATAAAATAGACTGTCACTATACAAAAATTAACTAAATAAATTGTCACTATACAATTTATATACAATAGAGTGTCACTATACAAATTATATACAAAATAGACTGTCAATATACAAAATATATACTAAATAGACTGTCACTATACAAAAAATATATAAATATACAGTCATTATACAAAAAAGACCATTACTATACAAAAAATATACAAAATAGATCGTGGCAAAAAAGGGTTACTCTATTGCACCAGGTAGGGGTCGAACCTGCGACATTTTGCTTACGAAACAACACTCTATCCACTGAGCTACAGGTGCTTGTGTTATCATGCTCATTCCTTTCGGCTGCTAAATGCAATATGTTTGGGCCGAAGGGCCATTTTCTGTACGTGGGACAAAACATGGGCTATTAAAATTTTGAGGGGCTATAGAGGGTAGTTTTGTCAATAAATAAATAGAAAACTACCCTCTATAGAGGGAGAAATTCAAAAATAGTTCAAAAATAGCCACAACTTCAAAAATAATCGAAATTTAACCATTTTTCATGTAAATCTGAACGAAAACACTGTTCAGAATCTGGAAAAATACTCCAGCATAATATACTGGAGTTCCAGTATAATATACCGGTCCAGCATAATATACTGGAGTTTGGAGCACCGGTGCTCCAGTCTCCAGTATATTATACTGGAGCCAGCAAAGTATACCGGTCCAGCATAATATGCTGGAAGCTCATACACAGGTGCATCAAACTCCAGTATATTATGCTGGACCGGTCTCTGTTGCAGCAAAATAATGGCTATTTCTCAATGACATGGCAAACGCTGGCTATTTTTGAATGACCAGTCCGAAAACTGGCTAGACCGTGCTATTTTAATCTCTATAGCCCCTCAAAAATTTAATAGCCCATATTTTTTCCTATTGACACGAAATAGCCCTCCGACCCAAATATATTATATCTAATAGCCCGAAATATCTATTTTATATATTTTTGTATAATGGCAGTCTATTTTGTATATTTTTTGTATAGTGGCAATCTATTTTGTATTTTTTTTATAGTGACAGTCTATTTAGCATATACAGTCAAACCTCTTTATAACAACCTCGTTTGTTCCGATATTTTTTGACTGTTATAAGTCTGAAATGGTTCGTAGGCTATCCAAAACTCACTCGAGCCCCTAGGGCTCCAAAGCAGACATATACACAAATGTTATAACATCATACAAACTTGCATCCACGATCAAAACACCAAAATAACACCTAGAACTACGTATCGGATGTCAAAATACTTGAAATTTCAAAGAAAACTCAAAGAACCTCTAATATCACAACCGAGCGTCCGAATCTTATCAACTTAACTCTGATTTGTACCAAATTTTACGGAAAAGTTTCAAATAGAAAACGGGCCTATACCAAGTCCCAAAATCAAAATCCGAATCCAATAGCCGTAAAGTCAACCTATGGTCAAAATCTAGGAAATTTCCAACTTTCAAAGTACTAGTTTTTGGCAAAACAAGTCAAATCAACCTAGGGACCTCCGTATTCAATTTCGGGCATGCGCCCAAGTCCAAAATCACAATACGGACCTACCGAATCGTAAAAACATGGATTTGGGATCTCTTACACAGAAAGTTAACTATAGTCAACTTAAGTTATTTTTAAATAAAAAAAATCATATTTTCTTCAAATTTTTATGTAAGAACTTTTCGGGAAAAGGCACAGAGTATGCACGCAAATCAAGAAACATCAAATGAATCTAATAGAGGTCTTGATACATAGAAATAAGGGCTAGTACTCTAAATGACCTATCGGGTCGTCACATTCTCCACGTCTAAAAGAAAAGTCCGTCCTTGAATGGACATAGAAAATTATCTGGACTGGTGAAAAGGTGTGGGTATCTACTCCGCATATCAGACTTGGACTCCCACGTAGTTGCCTTGATCGGGCTGACCTCTCCATTGCACTTTCAAAGAGGAATAACTCCTAGATCTGAACTTTCGAACTTGCTAGTCTAGAATAGCCATTGGCCTCTCTTCATAGGCTAAATTATCATCAAGTAAACCGTGTTGAGACGGATCACCATAATACTTCAGGAGCATAGAGACATGAAACACTGGTGAATACCCGATAGTTTAGGTGGCAATGAAAGTTTATAGGCTACCTCCCCAACTCGCTCAAGCAAGGGGCCAATATAACAAGGGCTCAACTTGTCCTTCTTCCATAACCTCATCACACCCTTCATGGGAGAAATTCTTAGCAAAACCTTCCCACCCATCATTCATGCAACATCACAAACCTTTCGGTCAGCATAACTATTCTGTCTAGATTGTGCTGCAAGAAGCCTATCCTGAATTAACTTGACTTTCTCCAAGGCATCCCGAACCAAATCAGTGCCCAACAATCTATCCTCTCCCGGCTCAAACAAACCAACTGAAGAACGACACCGCCTCCCATATAAGGCCTCATAAGGAGCCATCTGAATACTCAATTAGTAGTTGTTATTGTAGGCAAACTCCACAAGCGGTAATAACTCATAAGGAGCCATCTGAATCCATAACGCAGGCGCTTAGCATGTCTACCAAGATCTGAATGGGGCGCTCGGACTGCCGTCTGTCTAGGGGTGAAATGTTATACCCAACTCAACCCGTGTACCTAACCCACACTGCACAGCTCTTCAGAAATATGATGTGAACTATGTGCATCGATCAGAGATAATAGACACAAGCATGCCTTGAAGATGAATAATCTCCCGAATATAGATCTGAGCCAGTTACTTTGAAGAATAGGTGGTCACAACCAAAACGAAATTTGCAGACTTGGTTAGTCTATCCATAATAACCCACACTGTGTCAGATTTCTTCAAAGTTTGTGGGAGCCCAATAACGAAATCCATCGTAATACGCTCCAACTTCCACTCGGGAATCTCAAGTCTTTGAAGCAAATCGCTCGGCCTCTGGTACTCATACTTCACCAGCTGACAGTTCAAACATTGAACCACATACTTCAATATATCTTTCTTCATTCTTTTTCACCAGTAGTGTTGCCTCAAAACCTGATGCATATTGGCGGCACCCAAATGAATGGAATACCATGAACTATGGGCCTCCTCAAGAATCAACTCATGCAACCCATCCACATTGGGCATACAAATTTGACCCTACATCTGCAACACCCTATCATCTCCAATAGAAACCTCCTTGGCATCAACCCACTGCACCATGTCCTTAAGGACATGCAAATAAGGGTCATTATTCTGATGTGCTCTAATGCGCTCATACAAAGAAGACCGAGAAATCATGCAAGCAAGAACCTGGCTAAGCTCCGAAACATCTAGCATCACGAACCGATTGGTGAAAGCTTGATCATCCAATGCTAGAGGTCTTTTACCAACTGGAATATATGCAACGCTACCCATATCTACATGATTCTACTCAAGGCATTAGACACCACATTGGCCTTCCCGAGATGCTACAAAATGGTGATATCATAGTCATTTAACAGCTCTTACCACCTGCACTGCCTCAAGTTTAGACCATTTTGCTTAAACAAGTGCTATAGACTCTGATGATTTGTGAATACCTCACATTACATGCCGTAGAGTTAATGCCTCCAAATCTTCAATACATGAATAATGGCTGGTAACTCTAAATCATGAACGGTGTAGTTCTTCTCATGAGGATTCAACTGACGTGATGCATAAGCGATCACCCTACCCTACTACATCAAGACACATCTGATGCCAATCTATGAAACATCATAATAAACTGCATATGAACTCGATACTGATGGCAAATTTGGAATTTGAGCTGTGGTCAAAGTAGTCTTGAGCTTTTGAAAGCTCAAGTCACACTCATCATAGCACCTGAATGGGGTACCCTCGAGTTCAATCTAGTTAATGGGGCTGAGATATATGAAAACCCCTCCACAAACCAGCGATAATAACCCGCCAAACCTATGAAGCTCCAAATCTCTGTAGCTGAGGTAGGTCTAGGCCA